AGAGAGAGAGAGAGAGAGAGAGAGAGAGAGAGAGAGAGAGAGAGAGAGAGAAGCGCAAAAATGAAACGTGGCTTAAATTGTCGCCGTGATCTATTTCGTGGTTGAAATGATTTTGAATAATTTATTTAATATTTCTTCTGGAAATATCACAGTAAAATCTGCGAGCATGCAAATTTTTAGGTCTTTTCATGAGTTCCTCTAAGCGCGAAAAATCACTGAAGTTGGAGTACTTTTTATGTTGGCCCCCACATGGCTGAGTGACAAAATGAAAAATGCACCGAATCTGCGTGGAGATTATTTTGCGGTTTTACTGATTTGTTTTGAAAACTTCTGATACTTTTGCTGGAAAGACCACAACCTAATCTATGGATTCTCAAATTTTCAGAAATTTCTGCCAATTCTTCCGATCACAAAAAATCGACAAAATTGCCTCTTGCGAATTGCCTGCGCGTGGGACTCCCGACAACGTCTCCCCTTCTTAGGGTAGGACCCCACAGGACGGCAGCAAACGGTTTCGGAAGTCGTGAGGCAACTTCCCGGACCCCACAGACCAAGATTCCTGTTGCGGAAGACGACGGGTAACCGTTTTCACTCGGTCCACGGCCCCTTTATTCCTACGTGACCCTTAATTCTCGTTTTTCAATACTCGTCGGTTTACCTACCTCCCGGGTGCGTACTCCGGTGTATGCAGACGGAAATTGGCAGCCCTTTCATTACAACCACTGGTAAGGGATCTGGAATGACCTTCCAGGCCCCGACCTTTCCCGAAAAGGAAAACCACCCTGGAATTTCCTTTTTGGGTAACTGCCTCTGACGCAAAAGCAACATTTCGTGGTGGCGTTGGGTTCCCCTCTGTTTCATCATCTCCGTTGGTGGTGGGCAGTTGGCTGGAAGTCGAGACTCCCGGAACCGTTTGCCGCCGTCCTGTGGGTTCCTCCCTTACTTCATTTTAGGGTCTGCTTCCACCTGATGACCGGTCGTTCCTTTGCCCAAAAGTCCCAGTTCTAGAAGAGCTAGCTGTAGGTCGTCCGGAATATCGCCAAGGACCAGTCTCCCAGAAATTCTTAACCCCATATGCCACCTTGAAGCCCACAGAAGGGGTAACATGGGAGTCGCTGTTTATTTTTTAATTTTTTGTTATTTCTTTTCTTCTTCTTCTTCTTCTTCTTCTTCTTCTTCTTCTTCTTCTTCTTCTTCTTTTTTTTTTTTTTTTTTTTTTTTTTTAAGTCCAGGGTGTTGTAGAGGCCAGTTACTAGGCACACGCTGATCGCCAGAAGTAGTCCTCCCTGGTCGCTCTGAGAAGGCGAGGCCACCACCCATCCCAACCTCACGTCAATACTCCTAGCGTATCCCCTATCCCTACTATCCTACCTCAATGTGACCAGCACTCAGGACCGTCACCCTACCTGTATCGAGGGGGACTTGGACCGAACAGTAGCGACAGGCACCAGGGCTAGCGACCCAGTCCTGGTTGAAGCGTAGTCGAACGAGCCTCGCCGTACGGGTACTTCGGACGCCAGGCTCAAGCAATCACCTATTGGCCCCTGTGTGACCTCCACCCAGCCCTTGTGTATGCGTGTAGCTATATGTATGATTGCATGTTGCTCCCCACCATGGAGCATCCGCGAAGTGAGTACTGTGTACCGGTGAGAGGTGCTCTTATCACCTCCACTTGTACCTATATGTGTGTGTGCCCCTTGTGATTCGCTAGGGAGAATCAACCAGTGGTATTGGAGGAGACCTCATTCGGTATCAACTACCCTTGACCAACCGCTGCTAACTCACTCCCTGAATGGGTCTACAGCCAACGAGAGTAGGACACACCCCTTGATTCGACATTGGTTTCCTTACAAGGCACCCCTTCCCAACCATTGGACTGCCACGGTATCACCATGGACCCCCAACCCCCATGCCACCCCCCGACCCAAGAGAGCGACATTCATCCTCAACAGCTTCCCCATAGGAGAGCCACACATCCCCAACCAAAGCCATCCAGAGAATCATCCCTAGAAAATAGCTGTATATGATATGTGATAGATTATGTATCGTGACTGTGCTATCTGGGGGGTGTATGTGTGTAAATGTGGTAGAGACAGATCTCCCCCAAAGTCCGAAACTGAACTCGAACCTGTGACCTACAGGTTCAGGGTTCTACCACTTGTACTATCGCAAGGAGTGGATATAGTGTGTGCGATATCTGGACTAGGGAGATCATCAGAGTGACCAAAGCCGACAACAACGAGGGACCAACGTGAAGACTAGGCCAGCATACAATACCCATGGACTGATCCCCTGGGTGGTGCACAGGCAGTGTCAGTAATAATACCATCCATCAGCCCTGGGGTATGTGTGTCCAGCCGTGCGTCATTCTAACGCCCTGCCGGTGTCCATGCGGGAGGCTGGGGAGTTTTGAACCCACAACCTCATACCACAATGCGCATTTCCAACGGGTGCTCTAACCACTGAGCTACATCAACTGGACATTCCACGGTACTCTTTAGCAAAAGGCGAAAGAATAGTATGGGAGTCATTTCCCCCATGATTGTCCCTGTGAGGGAGCAAGTGGTCCTGAACTTGCAAAGGTCGTCCGTGACAAAACCAAAACCCTCTACAGACGGTAGGAACACCAAAGCCCCCACGGATCCCAGGTTTCGCCCGTCCCGCAAGAGAAAGGGCCAACATAGCGGACGCCGGTGCAGCCTCTCGGAAATAAGGCAGAGTAAGTAGATGGAGCACAAGCCGCAGTCTCTCTGGAGTCCTTCGCGACATTCCGCTAAAATTGGAACAATAGAGAGAAGATTAGCATGTCCCCTGCGCAAGGATGAGGCGCATAAATTGAGAAACGGTGTACAATCGATCTGGAGGGTAGCATGTGACCACCGTTCATATCTCTTCCGCGAAGGGGGGTGCATCATGAACGACGGCCAAACACATCTGGCAGTACAGCAACACCCCTCCTCAATCCAGATATTCGACGCCAGCTGACGCCGGCTGCAAACAGGACCGCCTTGCTGTTGCGCTGTTGGGAGAGGACAGATTTTGTGTCGGGCCAATCGATCTGCGGACCGAAAAAGGAGCTACACCATCGGGAGGTGGTCTTTGGATATGGACGTCATTGCATCGGCGACAGGGAGCACGGATTGTGGCGCTTGGGGGGTGGTGAGGCGCAGGTGGAACCTCGATGGGTTGAATGGCAGATCATTTCTTCGGCCTAAGAAGACGTATGTGACCCTGCGGGTTGCTCTGACAAATGACGACATGTGGCCCATGTCCTCTCCCTCTCGCTCATTCCTAGTGGAAATAATACCCCGCCGCGAGGACAGCTACTTATCTGTCCTCTCTTGGGAATGCCGTGCTGGGGTCATGCCGCTATTATGAAGGTATAACAGCGGCGACCGTGCGATTGGGCGTCCCGTGCGGGTCCTCATTCTGTGACTCAGGCGGGCTCGCTAGCCTGAGAATTGGCCTGGGCTGCTGCAGCATAAGATGTGCCTTTGGGGGCGTTGAGGGGGCTGGTGGCGAGGCGGGGCGGGCCCATGAATTGGAAACGAGATACCCACATTTGAGGCGAACGCGGGATCGGGAGCAAGCGCGAGGGAGCTCTAGAGTCACTCGGAAGAGCAAATCAATCAATTAATTAACGAATAATTAACGAATTAACCCGAGTATTGATGAGCAATCAATCAACAGTTGTCATCAAGGAACGAAGGAAAATGCAGCCGGCCGGAGAATCACGGCCGAAGGAGCAGCAAGGCTCAGGCAGGCCAATGGTAGCAGTGTCGTCGATTTGTTTGCAGGATGGGAAGGGACTAAGAAAGCAGGAGCAATTAACTGTGAGGTGGAACGTCCAAGAGCAAGCTGTAAGAGCTGACGGCAGTCATGCGTGGAGAAGAAAACAGCTTCCCTGAATAGCCAGCCGTCTAGGTTGTCGTGTCTTTGCTTGGCATCAAAAGTACCAAACAACCTCAAAAGAAACCCATAACTGTTGAGCTACCCATAACTGTGAGAGGTGGATCAGTACAGTAGGAATATTCCTCGTAGCATCCCAAAGCGGAAGGAGACGATTCATAAAGTGGACGGATGATCAGTAACATCCGCATGCGGAATGCCCTGGATCAGTAATTTCCACCTCTGAGGCAATACGACCAGCAATAGCAATTGTATGAACACGTAAGCTTGCGATGAGAGCAACACATATCCCACAAGGAGATCTGCAGGGAGATCCGATCACAGAGCGCACTGACCCTTAACTGCGGCTGCTTACTGAATGCCCTCCATAGATTCTCCAGGGGTTTTGCGAAACCCAAAAGTGGGGTCACTTAAAGAGTGTGTGAAGAGGTGAAATATCTGTGCGTGTTTGTGCGCGAAGCGGAGAGAGAGAGAGAGAGAGAGAGAGAGAGAGAGAGAGAGAGAGAGAGAGAGAGAGAGAGAGAGAGAGAGAGAGAGAGCAGGAGCGACAACAGTGAAGATGAGGCTGTAATTATCCTCGAATGCCGACCAAATAACAACCGGTAGCGGTGCATCCATCATTGCGTTATTTCACACTATTCCCAGTCTCTGCAGATCGAGGCGAGTGTTGGATATCCGCCAGCTTCATCCTCGTGCGGAAAAAAACTCTTTTGGCCGCTGAACGAGCATACGATCACTGCATGTGATATGGCGCAAGAACCTTGCAATGAGCCTGTGGTAGCAGCTGTGGGAGATGGGGAAAATCTGGGAGGGGGTGGGAAGGGGTGTAATGGAGAAACTCCTTTTCCCCTCGCTCCCTCACTTCCCCTCCCTCCCCCCCGGGAACCCCCTAAGGTCACTAATGCAGATCTGCTACTGGGCACACGTTCCGTCTGGCCACCTTATGGCATCGACACCCTACGGCGATTTGACGTCCCAGACAGGTCGTTGACAACAACGGATATTCCAGGAGCATGTCCTGCAAAGTTGCTGAAGCTGCCCTTGAAGGGAATGGTGCGTCATCCCTCCGCCCGTCCTCCCTTCCTCTGTCTGTTTGTCTGTCTGTCTGTCTGTCTGTCTGTCTGTCTGTCTCTCTCCTGTCTCTTATACACATCTAGATGTGTATAAGAGACAGCTCTCTCTCTCTCTCTCTCTCTCTCTCTCTCTCGCTTGCGCTTGCGCTCCGTCAGGTGCCTATCCGCACTTCTCTTTTCGTCCCTCAGCGCAGTACTGTCCTGCCACGCTTTTGTCTGGTGTTCATCCGCACTCGACACCTTACCTGTACCCGTACGAGGGACGATTCCTCAATATTGTACGGTGTGGCAACAAGAACTTGCAAGCAGATATCAAACCAGCTTAAAGTGCTAAAAAGAGTACGCATTCCACGAAAGCTCTATCCTGTATCTCAAGGAACAGCAGTGCTCTCGCGCACGGAAGGCAATCAATAGCAGGTCCACGAAATTTGTATTTGATATATGCCAACTTGGCGGAATGGACTGCTAATTACAATCAGGTAGATATATAATCCTTTCTGGGACCCATATCTTGGACTCAAAGCGAGAAAGAGAGGAGACGCACCTTCCACCTCTCTTCCTCTGCGAGCTCCTCTGTCCCTCCTTCCTCCCTACTCCCCCCCTCCGCGAGCCCCTCCCTCCCTCCCCCCTGACCTCCGTCCAACCTCCTTCTCCCCTCTACTAGACCTTTTGCTTGGCCTGCGCCCTCCCTCCCTTCTCCCTCCTTCCTCCCTCGTTCCTCTGCGACGTCCTCCCTCTCTCCACCTGATGCTCGACCTCCTTTCTCCATCCACTCGACCTTCGCTCAACCTCCTCCCTCCCTCCTCCCTCCCTCCGTCCGCTCAACTTCTTCCCACACGACTTCCTCCATCCTCCCTCTCTCGTCCAGATCTTCATACGATGTCCTGCATCCTCTTCTTCGCCCGTCCTTTGTCTTTCCTCCACCGTCCCTCCTCCTGATCCCTCCCGACCTCCGCGATCTCCTCCCTCCCTCCAGAACCCGCCTTCTGGGTACCGCGCCGTGTTTGAGAGAGAGAGAGAGAGAGAGAGAGAGAGAGAGAGAGAGAGAGAGAGAGAGAGAGAGAGAGAAATCGACCACCGCCCGTGTTTCCTACGCCTCCTCCCGTTGTCCACCTGCCTGCCACAACCATCTCCCTCGACCTCCCCCCTTCTCCATCCCCACTCTTCCCTCACCTTGCGCCCCTATTTCCGTCAGAAAATCTCACGTCCCACTCATACTTTGGCCGGCCTTTGAAAACGATATTCCTACGCAGAGAGAGAGAGAGAGAGAGAGAGAGAGAGAGAGAGAGAGAGAGAGAGAGAGAGAGAGAGAGAGAGGAAATCGACCACCGCCCGTGTCCTACGCCTCCTCCCGTTGTCCGTCCCGCCTGCCTGCCACAACCATCTCCCTCGACCGTCCCCCTTCTCCATCCCCACCCTTCCCCCACCTTGCGCCCCTATTTCCGTCAGAAAATCCCACGTCCCACTCATCCTTCGGCCGGCCTTTGAAAAAGATATTCCTACGCACGCACACACACACACACACACACACACACACACACACACACACACACAGACACAGAGAGAGAGAGAGAG